CCGACCGGCAGAAGGCCCAGGGGACGGCCAAGATTAACCTGGTGCAAACATATGGCAGGAGTCTGTTCCAGAGTCCATTTGTCTTTTGCCGAAGCTCAAACTCTGGTACAGGATGGGGAACTTTGGAAGCTCTGTCTGACGAGTCTGCCTCCGCGACCCGAAAGGAGATGCGGCGATGGATGATGAAGAAGATGAATTTCCACAAGACCAGTGTATTTTTTCATTTCCTGTTTGAACTAGTGTTCTTACTCACTGCGTGTGTGATTAGTAATTAGCTTGCTGCCCGGTAGTTACAGCTGTCGGCGAGGATCGTGGTTTGTCACGGAAATATGAGACAGGCGAAGTTGAATGTCACTATCGCTTATGCCCTGACAAATGTGTTTCGTGATAGCGACAGAGACAATCGCAGTCAGTTGTCAGAACTTTATCACGTCAGATGTCACTAATGTCGCAGGCAATAATACTGTTGGCACCGAATACAGCACATGGTTAAGGGCATTGGACCGTCACGGAATGACACCTGAATGACAACGGCAGCAGTCAGTTAAATTTTTGCGCGTCATCGAAACCCGATTCCCTCATCAAAGAACCCATTAGTCCAGCTGGACGCGATCTGATGAAAACCAAAGCACCCAACTACGTCCTCATCAGCCGCAAATGGCGCAGCTCGTTACTCGAAACTCGCGTCATGCGTGATTCCTGCAGTTGATCGGATCACCATCTGACCATAGCGAAGGTACTTCTAAAACTAGTCCTGCTACCTTGACGTCGTCCGGCTGAAATACTCTGGCTTCTTGGCATGACGAAGCGACATAGGTCAGCCTAACAAGACGAACTGGAGAGTATCTTAGTGCCCAGTCGAAAACTGGCAACTTCGTCTTCTTGGGAAACAAACTTAGCTAAGGTCAAAAGAGGACAGTTAAACTACCCAAGGTTACGGGCAACACTTCAGCACAGAGGAATCAGGCTAAGCAGAAGTATTTTAGAACTTAACTATATCCTCAAAGGCAACCTATCTCTGTCTCGTTCGTACAGTCAATCACTGCTACACGAGGCTAAATCATTAAATGAGGACAGAAGAATCAGGAAGATCGATAAGGTAGAGAGAAAGTACAATCTGAGAATAGTGTTCCAAGGAATTCGACAGTTTTCCGGTAAGCAAGGGATTCGGCCTGTTATCATTTAAGACAGTAAGGGTGTCATATTTTCAGGTAAAACGGAGCGTCACAAACGACAGGATGAGCACTTTTAGCAACTGCTCAACAACTGTCCTCCATATCCGACAATCCTACTGCAAATTCTCTGCCAACACTAATGGTTAGTGCAGATTCAACCAAAAACTAGACGTAAAATGCCTAGCTACATTTCAAGGGGAAGAAGGAGAGTGGAATGGATCGAATCCCTCGGAATGGGAATACGAGAAAAGTTCCATGCTCCTTTCGATCAGATGTGAAACTCAAAATGCTTCCCCGGAGAATGAAGCATGAAGTCATTGTCCTTCTATCTAAAGCAAGTCGGGGGACCAACTGTTCTAGTTAATCAAGTGTAACACTATGTCAACTCCCGGGAAACCATTCACCATGAATATCCTAGAAAGGCTGAGGGAAGCAATGTTTAGCTCTGACCTCGCTGCGAATGGTCGGTTCTTCTGTCGCTCCGTCGTCGTTTTTGGTCAATCGCTGTACCGTCAATCTTTGAAAACCCTACTATGGCAGCTCTATTTTACTGGTACTTCTGTATCATATTTTGTATTCATTTTTTCTCGACAATGACAACCTTTTCACTGGTTTCTCCTCTGGTGGTCAACGGAAATGCCTATTCTCGAGAGATTATTCATTTCTGCAAAAACGATACCGAAATCCGTCTACCCTCACAAATGCTCAAGAACCTCGAGTAGCTCGGTCTACTATTACGAAACGTAAAAAACCAATGAAGACATCGTAAACGTGGAGAATGGCAAAGTTTCCTTCAGTCGTTAAGCGCTGAATCATTGTCATTGTTTTTTTTAATTCATCTAATGTTCATCTAATCAAAAACAAACTTGAAGAAATCGAAGACATGCCATTCTTCTGAACGCTTGCAAATGTTTCTGCTTTCCTATTCCAGGAGTCATAGCTCAGCAATGATGTTGATGATTCCATCCTCTCTTGACTCCTTCTACCTGGATAACTCATCAGAGATAAAATCGATCGGCGAAAGTGTCCTTACCTTCGTTCGACAGGAATGGTTTCAAGCAAGAGGTCAAATTTCCCTTGTCGTGTATGAACTGCCTATTTCCACGATGCAGGAAAATAACTCAAAAATAACTCGCGGTGGGAAATATCTATATCGCACGTGACTGTGACGCTACGCTTCTATATGAATTCACACGCGAAACAATTTCTGGTTTTGCTCCTGACGTCAGTTAAAAATGACAGTTTAGAAGTCCTTGCGGGAGATTCTAATCATCACAATGTGAAAGTTCTGTTTCTTGGCCTCGCAGACATCGTTACTTTTAATACAAGATGTAATGCTGCCATGAACCAAGTTCTGTCTAATCATCTAATCACTTTTTCATGTTCCCGTTCAGCGCCTACCGGCACGTCAGATCACAACGTTATTCGTATTCAATCGATGTTCTGTTTAGTATCTAAGCGTCTTGCGAGTAGACAGTGTTGCCATACTCTAAAGACCATATACTGTCCAGATACATGCACAAAGAACTCTGAAAATTTGCAACGGTTCCTCTAAAGCTACAAACGAACTATGATTCCTAGCATCATTCGAAGCCAGGAAAATCTTAATAAGATCGTGCGAAAAATCACCACTCTTCTCAAGGAGAGTTTCAACACTTTCTGCAATATTTTGATTTCTGAATGTAGAATTACTTCAACAGCCTTTCAACGCTTAAGCCTGCTGAAATAATGATCATGTCGACATGGTGACCATCAGCTCTGCTTGTTCCAGCCATCCAAAATTACCACAGAAATCAGCCGACTCAACACACTATGCAAACTACTGTTTTGGTGATGGCGATCCAAAGAACTAACTGCGTAATATTAAGTCACCGTGCAACTCCACATCCGCCACAAACTCTTCTTCCGTGGATCTGAATGAGTTTAACGAGCGCATTCTGCGCCACGAAAAATAACATAGACGATCTTGTGAATTCCTAATCATTTTCAGCAGCAGGTAAGTTATAGCAGCAGAGGTTCGAAATCGTTTGACCGGCCTTTGATCTAATGTGTCCCCGGTCCCGAAAGAGTGTACTCCTTGTTAAACAAACCGTGTCTTGCTCTTCTGTGTGACGTTCTGAAACACGTGCTTAACCTGTGTTTACGCCAGTCACTGATTCTTGATGCTGATGCATAGCTTACATTGTTCCAGTGCCAGAAAGAGAGCTAATACAACAGGGCTTGAGGCACTCTGTCGAACTGCAATAACCTCAGTCCTACCTAAATTCCTCCAGGTGTTAGTTCTGCCAGCCATAGAAAGTAAAGCTACTTTCGCAACTGACCGCCGACAGTTCGCAAACAAAAAAAAATTGGGGAAGAAGACGCAAATGCAGTGTGTAACTCAAGGGACAAAGAATGTGTCGTTCCACGTTCACTGACCAAACCTCGGAGTTCAATATGATTTCTCATGATAAGCTGTTATACAACCTGAATAGATAAGATATCAGCCCTTCAACTGTTCAGTGGCTGGCTAATTCTCTCTCCTGCTACCGTCAGTCAGTTTGTTAACACTGATGGGAAGAAATACTGCCTAATGGACAACAATCTTGGTATTGTGCAGGGATCTGTCCTATCACCCATACTGTTCAACATTTACATCAACGACTGCATTACCGACATACCTCTTCAGTGCTTTAAGTATGCTGATCATACAGTCGTCGTGGGCTGTCTAAAGTCGGCTCTGAACTGGGGAACGTATGTGAATGGCATGAGGAAGATCTGCCAATTCTTCTCAATCAAACGAGCTCCAGCTGATCCCGCATAAAACATCAGAGTGGATCTGCAGCATGTACGGTACCAGCAATGAACAACTATTAGACCTATCATCCTGACCACTCACTCTCTTTGATGGGACTGTGGCTGGCACTGAAATAAAATACTTGTCATCCTGTCCTCCGAATTTTCATGCTACGAACACGTGAATTCAGTGGCGACCTGTACTTGCTGTTCATCGTTTTTCTTACGGAGACTGAGAAACCTCCATGTTCCTCCTGATGCATTTAAAACCTGTCTAATCATGTGTGCTCTTAATATTTATTTATGCCGCTGCGATTATTTTTCTTGGTCTCTAAAATGTGAAAACAAAACACTGAGACGTTCTCTCAAGATAGTGGTGGTATTTCACTAAATGACGTAAAAATGAAAGTTGGTGATTTTGTATTAAATCACGCAGTTTGGGTAAGCAACAATATCCTCGCAAACAGTGCTCATCCTTCGAATAATGATCCTGCAGGATATATTTCTCGTCGCCTTTCCAGAAGGTCTCGTTTCGTAAATTCGTATGCCAAAGCAGAGCTTTATTGCAAATCAATTGTCCCAGCCTCAGCACGGATCTTCTGAGACTTTGAAGAAGTCAGGCAACTTTATCTCTGCGTGCTTCATGTTCATTAACCCCTTTATGCTTCTTCATTGCACATCAGCTGACTTCTTTCTCTATATTGTTGATATTTCTCTTTCTCTAGTCTTTGAGTTATGTATTAGTGATGCATATTGTCTCTTCGATTAGCTCTTCTCTGTTCCTCCGTTTCAGTGGTGACTGGTTTGCTTTTCTTTATACTGAAAAATGTTCACTGGTGATCCATTCAAACAGTTAAAACTCAATTCAAGCAGATGATGGAAGACCGATAAATCAGCCAAACATTTGGATGGTATATTCCCGTGCTGAACAGACTGTCACTCTTCATAGGATACTGAGCAATCCCAACGATTCAGGCTGCTTTGGTTTGTTACTCGATTTTCCCTCTGCATATGATTCATTGCATCATCCTACGACATGCGAAACCTCGAAATGCCATGGGACACGTGAATACGTCGTTTCCATTTTGGAAAAAATCTTTGCTGTTAAAACTAAAAGAGATCGAATTGACCGATTTCTGGTTAATCATAGAGTTCGCCAGGGACATATGATTTCGCATCTGCTATTCAACCTTATTTTCGACTTTCTTATCCGAAACACTGCTGATTCTTGTAAAGACGCAGGTCCTTTTCTAGAGGAAAGGCACAGTTCAAGATATCAGGAGAGTGCGGATGATACTGTGCTGATGTGTAGTACGAGAAGCGGCCTTTGTCATTTGATGGCTTCCGTATGCAACACAGTCGCGAAAGCCAGCCTCTTGCTTAGCACCCGGAAGTCAAACGTTATGAAGAATCTATCCGTCAGCTAATCTACAAGTGAAACACGGAGGTGAAGCGGTTCAGGAGCTTGATCAGTTCAAGTACCTCGACTCACTCATGTCCAGTAATGGCACCATCGAAACACAGTTAAATAATAAGATCGTCCTCGCCTCCAGTGCTTTCGGCTACCTTTCGCATTTAAGCTGAAAAAGGAGTAACTCATTTCACAAAGATCCGTCAGCGCCTTGCTAAATCAGGCCAATGTTGCTTTACGAGATGGAAGTTTTTCTAGCGAAGTTGCAAGAATGGCAACTGAACTGCGCAGAGCAGCGTTGGCTTCGATGTACAACAGGAATTACATGAAAAGATGACGAAAGGAATGACTTATTTTCTAGATTACCTTGGCAGATACAGTTGTTGGCCCTGTTAGACAAACTGGTTGAACACAAACCATTCACTCCAGCGCAGGAGTTTCTCGTTTGGGAGCCAAAATACAGTAGAACTTGCAACATGGAGAAACAAGGTTCAGGTAAATCTACGGGGATGAATATTTTCTTCTGCGATGCAGTAACTGACGCTTTATAGCGAAAATGTTGAAAGCTGCGGATACAGTGACATCACAAACTAGAGACGTTCTGTTTATGCGAACGACCCAAGATGATGATCTCAACAAGCACACGCTGCGTTGAAATCACAATTGAATTTATGATTTCAGGAAAGTATTCATCTTGGTGCCAAAGAGCAAACTCAGGGCTAAAAAACTCGGTATTGGCATGCTTGGGAATTCAGATCGTTGCTCTTGCTCAGTTGATGAAAGACCGGAAATATTTTTAGAACACCTCCTGAAACTAGTGCCCTAATTGTCCTAGTAGAATGAGAACTAACAGTAAAAATATGAAGCAGGAATTATCATAGATGCATATTAGCTATAAATAACATAACTAACAAAAAGTGAAGAACAAAGAGCTCTGAATGAGCTCGAGTCAAATCAAGGGCAAGTTTGTCTTTTGCAAGTGAATTTAAAGGTGTGTGTCGTGCAGAGCAAGGGAATGACAAATGATCATGCAAGATAATATACCCTTGCAAAACATATGCATACTTTTCCTTCTGCAGCCAGCTGGCGACATTTCTGCGCGAACCAAAACTGAGAATGTCGGCGAACTACGTAAGGCTTGAATTCCATCGCATCATCTTCATCCTCGGCATTCTGCATCCGGATTTCTTGATAAGCATCGGCAGGCTTTGCCTCGACGCTCTGTAAGGTGCCAAATCGGTTTGGATCGCGTGACGCAACAAGCTGCATTCTGGCAACTTCTGCAGAAAGAACCTTCTTATTCTTCCATTTCCGACTATCTTTGTTCGAAAGAAAATTTCCGAAAACATCTGGGTCAGATTGGGCAATGAAGCGGCAAACCTCGGCAAATGTTCCGGATTGCGGAATAGACACCAAACTTCGATTGACAAATTTCATCCGTAGCCTGATTTAACACCGATTAATCAACAACAAAAACTTTACTTAAAAGTGCTGACAAACCTGAACATTCAAGGGTAAAATGCCGATGAAACTAGGAGACGGCACCTTCTCAGAAAAACGCGTCAGACCACTAACTACGAAATCCTAGGCGACCGCAGCGGTGTACGGTAGCAACCGCCGAAATGATTTGCAAGTAATAAATAAATGAACTAAAGGAATACATGTTGCTGCACATTTGAACTAATCCCTCTACTAGACCCTCTTCCCACCTAATGTTGTTCATTATTATTTATTGTGATCATAACTAGATAAATAACTTGTGCTCTAGAAATAAATCGAACTTTTCTAGTTTATGCTGTCTGACGCCTTCTTAGAATTTGAAAGCTTTGGCTATTAAACATCAGTTCCTGTATCTTGGAATTTTTACCGATTTACGTGGTACATTTTATTTTGTTGACGGTTTGCTCCTTGAGTTGACTTTAATTGGCTATCATAAGCACTAATACAAGTTTAGACCGGAAAGCGCAGAAGTTTTATAGCACTGTCATAAGTATTGCGGGCACTGATATGACTACACCAAAACATCCCTGTGCTTTCATTGTCTCTGGTCAGCGACTTGCTACACCCGCTACATAATTTAAGCATGCATCTGAAGTTTTAATTCACAGGACGAATTCTACAATTTTCCAGTATGTCTAATTTTTCACCAATCTTCGCTTTGAGTTCTCCTGTCGCAATTCTAATACAGTGCTTTCATGACGTACTGACTACAAATAATCATGCAAATTATCTTTATGGCTGACGCTCGTGAAGTTCCCTGGGCGCCGGTGACATTACAATCCACCATTGTGTACCTTCTCTTAAAACGCAAAAGAGATCCTTACAACTCTTCCATGACGAAAGTACCTCGCTTTGCTTCATAAGACAAGAATATGCATCCAGAGGTAAAATAAATTCTGCCTTGACCTTACCATTAAAACGTTATGATCTTTGGCACTCTAACCAGAATGCGAGTTTCGGGGCTATCGATGTTTCATGTTTGTGCATTTCAGTTGTCAAAGTGATTCCTTAGGGATAGGCAACGAATTTATTGCTCTCGCCGAAACGGACTGCTCAGCGAGTGGCTGAGGCTCACAATTTATCAGTCAATTACAAACAAAGAAATCCTCGATTCCAGCAGTCATTACAGTAAGAGGTAAGTTCGTTGTACAATGAAATGTTCGATCCTAGTCTGGCGAAGTTGTGCTATGTTATACCTCTAGCATGGCCTGTTGGTACAAACTTGATGCATGATGGTCATTGAAACTCGTCTTCCAGGACGACGTCAACCAGTAGGCGAGCATGCAACATGATGAAGAAACAAGGCAGAGACATATCTGTTTCTGGAAAGAAATATTTCCATCTGCGATGCAGTAATTGGCACCTTACTGCCAAAATGTTGAAAAGCTGCGATTGTGCAGTTCATGATAAACATCATGTTCTGCCTACAGAAATGGATAAAGATCATTATCGCAACAATCAACAGCAACAACGAGCTTCTGCAGCAAATATCAATCAGTTTTTCTTTGCCTCACAAGGAATGAATGCTACCGCACGCCAAAAACACTTATCTTGCCTTAGGCTGAGCGGGCGACAATCATGGATAAAGCAGAAAAATAAGAGGAGTTATTAACCTGTTCTTTCCTTGATCAGCTTCATTTTCCCCATTTGCGAATTGATCATTCATCTATTGACGGGAGATAAAAAGGACTTTCTGTGATCCCCTGTTTGGAGAAAGTTGGTTGAAATGTGATCTGGTAGAGTTCTTCGTTTTAACTGACAACAAGCTGCACTTTGGCAATCTAAGGTTCTCTAAATTTCTTGATTGCGTCGTCATTTGCGAATGTGAACCTATTAATGAGTAATCCATTTAAGGTGCGAGTGCAATCCATTCAGAGTCGATCGCTAGGCATGTAATTTAATGATTGTAGCATATTTGAGAAAGTGATAGAAATCATTTAACGTGTTCTCTAAGAGTTTGTTCCATCCCTGGACGATGTCTTTCTCAGTGTTTAAAGGACCTTTATTGAAGTTTTTCATAGTTCCGGAAGTACGTGCCGTTCGTCAATGTAGGTAGTGACAGTGGGTCAGAATATAAAATTGCCAGTTGGCAGTCAGTACTTAACTATATTTAAAACTATTTTTATGTGATTATTACCTTTGCAGCTTTCAGCGCATGTGTAAAAACGGAACTTTGACCTATCGAATATGCAAAGAAGAGGAGAAATTCTTTTGCCAGCTAGGCAGAGTGGAAATGGCTCTATCTTCTGAGAACATCTTGAATTTTCGATAAATATTAAGCCGACGAGACTCCGCCGTTGCCAGTACTATGCTCGAATGAGAAAAACAGAGAGTTGGAAACCATGGTGGAGTCTCTCATAAAACTGGGCCATCTGCTCCTCTTGGCGCTGCCGTCATCGAACATTATATCTGTTCGGTCGCCGCCCTGACTAGCAAGGGCTCCGCTGGCTGTTTGAGGAATCGGGAAAGCTGCGAAAAGTCGGTGATCAGAAACTTCACCCCACCTTCTGGCTGTCGGGGCGTTCCAGCACCGCAGAGGTTGCCGAAGATAAACTAAACAGTTCACGAAGACATCAGTCAACAACTTAGCAGTTCTCAACCGATTGAAGCTTTTGCTTGTTGCTGGTGTATGTGCTCAGATTGGAGGGGGAAATGAGTTATTCTTGAAAGAAGTGGAAAGCGCCCTGTAGGAGCTGCTGACTATGAAATCTAACATTTTAATGGACAGTTTCCAAATACACGTCGAAATAGAAATGAAAAGTGGAGAGGCGTGATTGGAAAGAATGGCCCTAGCGACCACAATAATGCCACGAAGTTGATGCAGTATTGTACAAACAGCAGACTGTCCATTATGAACACCTA